TTGGAGGAAGTTGCCAAGCACAACACCGAGAGTGATTGCTGGGTTGTCCTCAACGGCAAGGTTCTTGATGTTACTGAGTTCCTTCCCGAGCATCCTGGTGGAAAGCTTGCTATCATGACTTTCGCCGGCAAGGACGCTTCCAAGGAGTTCAACATGATCCATCCTGCTGATGTTGTTCAGAAGTACGTCCCTGATTCCATCCTTGGACCTGTTGTCGAGGCCTCTGCTGCGTCGGCCCCTGCCGCTGCCACTCCAGTCGCTGCCCCCGCTGCTGCTCCCGCTGCTGCTACCAATGGTTACACTTTGGAAGAGGTTGCCAAGCACAACACTGAGAGTGATTGCTGGGTTGTTCTCAACGGACAGGTTTTGGACGTGACTGATTTCCTTCCCGAGCATCCTGGTGGAAAGCTCGCTATCATGACTTTCGCCGGCAAGGACGCTTCAAAGGAGTTCAACATGATCCATCCCGCTGATGTTGTCGAGAAGTATGTGCCCGAGTCTATTCTCGGACCTGTTGTTGAAGCCTCTGCTGCTGCCGCCGCTGCCGCTCCGGTCGCCCCTGCTGCTGCTACCCCCGCCAACGGCATCACCATGGAGGAGGTCGCCAAGCATACAAGCGAGACTGACTGTTGGGTGGTTGTCAACGGCCAGGTTCTGGATGTCACAAACTTCCTTCCTGAGCATCCCGGTGGAAAGCTAGCTATCATGACTTTTGCCGGTAAGGACGCCTCCAAGGAGTTCAACATGATCCATCCAGCTGATGTTATCGAGAAGTACGCCTCTGATGCCGTCCTCGGACCTGTGGTTGAGGCTTCGGCTGTTGCCCCTGCTGGTGCCTCCAACAACTTGGCTCAGCCTCTTCTCAGTGACTATTCTGCCAAGGCTGTTCCTGCCCAATGGTGGGGTGAGGAGCGCAACACCTGCGACTTGCATGGCCCTCTTGGACCCTCTGTTTGGTCGTACTGTGCTGCTCTCTGCTACTTCATCTGGATGTTCGTGATCGAGACTTTGAAGACCATCTTCACTATCAAGAACTGGAAGAACATTTCCGATAAGTCTGGATTGACTCGTTCTGCTATCTTCATGATGGTCTTCGTCACGATTCATGCTTTGGGTAACATCCATTTATTCTTCGGAGCTATCCACTTCAATGCTTACGCCTACTTCCTCAACCACCCTTGCCCCTGGAGCACTCTTCTCCTCCCTGTGGAGATCTATCTTCTTGCCTGTGGTCTCTTGCATGTTACTGTCGCTACCGTCCGTACCTTCAAGTTCAAGAGTATGAACAGCAGCATCGATCAACTTTGGTTGTTCTTGACTGGCTGCGTTCTCTTCGTGTTCCTGGTTGTCCATCTCATCCAGTTCCGCTTCGTTAGCGAAGCCGCGGCTCCTCAGTACTACTTCCGCACCAAGTGGATGTATCCCTTCTACTGCAGCGGTGACGATACCTCTTGTGAGCTCGTCCACTTCAAGGATCTTTACAAGATGGAGATGAAGTACTTCGAGAG